GAGAGAGAGAGAGAGAGAGATTTTGTTGAAAGAGAGATTAAACTCAGTGGAGCAAGAGAAAAGTATAAATTGAACTTGAGAGAGAGACCTAATGCAAAGGCTGCAGCTGTCATTCCTCCATGGTTGGGCCTGCAAGGCCTTCCCTTCCAATCCACCGATGCACCCAAATACCTCTTCTCCCCTTTAACATTTCCTCTTCCCTCAATATCCATTTTCTCTCTCTCTCTAACACGACAAAAGCGGGCTTGATAGTTAAAAAGAGAGAGCCAACAAAACTCCTCCAATCAAACTCCTCAACACCCACAACTCAGGTGCATTGCCATTGAAGATCGTGGGCTTAAATAGAGAAAAAATTTAGAGAGAGAAAGAGAGGGAGAGAGTGGTTGAGCACTTTCCATATTCATGATGCAAAAACAACTGTTAAGATAGTGCAGGTCACTGTGGAGGAGTCAAGTGTATTGTGTTGTCAAGAAAACACAAGTCTGGAAGAAGCTCAAAGACGGTCTCCCGCACCCACGGACTTGTCCAAATACACCCCACCTAGTGAACACTTTCTCTCTCTAAATCTGCCTTTTGCATTACACCAATTTACACTCTCTCTCTAAACCTCCTTTCTACTCATTCTCTCTTTGTCTACCATCCCTTATTATAATCGGAAAAATATCTTCTTATCTCTTATTTTTAACTTCCATACTTCATGTGACTAAAGAAGTGAACATATTACTTGTAAAAAATAGGCCCCATCTTTTCTATCTTATAACTATTGGACATTTTTTACCATAAATTTTTTATTCAAACAAATATTAAAATAACATCATATTCAAATTCCATCTCTCTCTCTCTCTTCGCTTATCGGTGAGTTTACCAATCAAGGAGTTTAGCTTGAGCTCGAACACGAGCATACCTTCTTATGTTTGAAAGATAGATGGAGTTTGGGTTTTAGAGAGAAAAAGATGGAGTTCGAGTTTTACATGGAGAAATGGAGTTTTGAGAGAGAAAGAGAGACAATGATGTGTGTGAGAGAGAGATGGAGTTTGGGTTTTAGAGAGAGATAGCGTTTTAAAAGAGATAGACAATGTGAGAGAGATAGAGTTTTAGAGAAAGAGATATAATCATTTCATAAGTTGTCGAGGTCAATAATACATTGTCAAAAGGATTTAAAGGGTTGAAAGATAAAAAAAATAGACTTATTTTGCTTATAAGTAATATTTGCTTACAAGTAACATAGAAGTTAAAAATAAAGAATAATAAGATATTTTCTTTTATAACAACTCTCTCTCTCTCAAGCCCCTTCCATTCATTCTCACTCTTTATCTAATATCCCTTATTATAACAACCCCTCTCTCTCTCTCTACATTATCATATTAATTCCTCCATTTGTAAGCATTTTTTCTTTATCTCTAAAACTCCCTTATTTTATTAAGAGATGGGTGAGGTTAGTATAAGGTGTTAACTTTATACCATTTAAAGAAGGTGTACCTCAAAACTATGTCGAAAATACAATTTCAGCACTATAAAGCCTTGCAATGATATGAAAATCTATTGTATCTCCTGTTGAGTTTATGTGGCATTTAAAGACCTTATGAGTACTCGTAAAATGAAATGATATACTGGAACATGAACTCAGTGGGAGTGTGGTCCCGCGTGGACTGTACTAAGCAAACGATAGTTTGCTGATACCGTGCTTAACGTTCTAGGCTAGTCGGTTGGAAAAAACTCATGTTACCTGAGCATGAAAAACAAACCGATGAGGGTTTATGGGTTAGTCCTTGATATGGTCGGAGAACATGTCCGGATGAGTGAGCCGAGGGACTCTGTGACCCTTGTGTGTGATAGTGGCCTATTAAGTCAAGGGCCAAAACATCATCCTTGTTCCATCACACGGCATGCATATTGATAGATCATTCAGGAATGACAAATATCCACCTTTGGGTGAAGCGTATGCATGTACGAGAGATACCCTTATGCGCCATAGAACTGTGATCGCATCAGGTCGTGGTGACCTTGACTCGTCTCTAAGGGATGACCTGTAATCCACAGACTGGGATTGCGACCGCTTGATTCATCGACCTGACTTCGGTGACCCGCTAATGAGCCTTGCTTTGACTGTGGGTCATGGGAAACACTAGGTCGATTCGATAAAGCTAGTGTGGTCTGTAGTCCACAGTTGAAGGTGGAGTACCCCGTTATTACAGATTGGATTCTTAAAACCACATCGATCATTTTTCCATCATATTAATTTAATTGTGTTCATGTTATTATTGAAATAATTTTAATTTTATTATTTGAATTTTTATGAATTTCTCAATATTTTATTTGTGATTTTTGAACTTATAAAAATACAGTTATTGTTCTTATAAAGTTATAAAAATTCAAATCTATATTTTAAATTATTTTATTCAATTTTAAAAATAAATTTTTTTTTATAATATTCCATGGGGGCCCATAATGCACGTGGGCCCACCATGTGGCATGTGGGTACGGGCCCACATGTGCCACAAAAGGGTGGTACGTTGGATTCTCTTGTTTGCTTTTAAAATAAAGTTAGTTTGATTTGTGGCATGTGGTCAAATCTTGAAAATGATATATTGACAGTTTGTTTAAAGAGATATGGTCAATTTGAATTGATATGGATCTTATCTTATTTATATTTGGTAGTATTTATCTACTTGAAATTATTTGACATATCCTTATGGAATATGTGACATGGATCGTGCAATTTTATAGAATGCATGACATTTATTTTATTTAAATATATTGATGGAAAAAAGGTTTAGGAAATGGGGGATTATGGTTCATGCACATTCCATAATGTTGATGGCTCATCTATGGAATGGATGGCTCAGACCTCTCACCCCACAAATCACCATTGATCGACAGTCTATTTCAGTCTCACAAGAAGAAGATGCAAAACCATAATCTTATTCAAAACCTATAAAAAGATATTGTCTCAACCCAAAAATCTCTACACCTTATCTCTTATACCTAATTCACATATTTCTCTCTCATATCCAAAAAAAAAAGGCACGTACCACTCTCTCATGTAAAACATAAGGGTTTAGGTTATGGAGTTTTCTCTCTTATCTCTAAAATATGGATTTACGGCTAAGGGTTTTAGGGTATATTGATTTACGGCTAAGGGTTTTAGAGTTTAGCAAAAAGAAAATCTATCTCTCTCAAACTAGGTTGCTAAGAGAATTCACCTAGGATTTGAGTTTGTGATCAAAAGGGTTTATGCTCCATTGGTGTGGCTCTACCGAAATTTGCTTTCTCGGTTTGAGATTGAAGCTAGACCGTTGATCCCGTGCCATCGGATGGTGGTGAATCGGTGTGGGGTGTAATAAGCCCGGTTGAGATAATTTTCGGCACTCTTCCTTTTTGTTTCTTGCAACCTTATCTTTTATTTTCAAGCATAGTGCATAGTTGTTTCAATGGCATCAAGTTGTTAAGATTTTGGTTTTATTGTTATGTTGATTTTATTTTGAAATTTATCTTATTATAATAAAAGCCACTTATCTTTTGCCAAAAGAAAGGGGTGAAAAAAAAAAAAGGTATTCCCCGGTAAAAGATCACATAGGTCTGTTTTTTCATCTCCCAATTATAAAATTTAAAGTTCTAAAAATGGAGACAATCTAACAAACCATCAATATTTGAAAATCTTGAAAAAAGCCTTGCAATGATACTCTCCAATTACTCCCTTGATAAAATGCCGCCTACGAGTTTTAGGACCTCAAATTTGGGTATATTACATCTTTAACACACATTAATTTCAACAAGAAAAAAAATTTCTAGTTGCATCTTCTAAGCACTTAAAAAGAATAATGTCTCAAAATTTAATAGAAACTGTCCAATTATTAGATGTTGAAAACGAAAGGTTAGAACACTAAAATTTCAATCTTTTTTTTATAATAATCATCTAATAATTTAAAAGTGGTTACCAAAACATTAGATTGAAAAAATCCTCTCACATAGATCATCTAACTGTAGGAGTACAAATAAACTATACTCCCGAAATAACATGGTATACGTACTCCACACAGGTTTACACTCTCAAGAATCTCCTTGTGTCAAAACTCACTCCCTCTTCTAATGTCCCTTACTATAATCAATTCTCTCTCTCTCTCTAGCATTAACTTATTGTATTGATTCCCCTATTTTTAAGCATTTTTCAGGTAATTTAATATGTGTACCACATTCCATTGTTAATTTGTGCTATATCTGGAGGCACATGGAAAACAACACTGCTGAGAGTGTGCCATTTTTCTCAAATTACCAAAGTGCCTTCATTTTTTATTGCAATGAACATTTTGCCCATAGCCATGAGCTCTTAGTTTTTGGGATACACATGGTCTTTTTCTCATTACAATGTTTTTGTTCTTTCAAGGGTATAATGGTCTGTTGTGAAAGGATTACCCTTCTTTCTTTTCAATAGAAAAAAATAGTGTGTTTTCAAGTTGAATGAAATGGGGAATAAGCTACAAATAAAGTATTATCAAGTGGTCAAAGGCCTAACAAAACCATTTAGGGGCCAAAAAATCATAATCAAAATTGAGTGATTTTTTAAAATATTTATTTCATACATGTAAGTCCTAAAAAAAAAAAGAAATGTAAAACTACTTTAATTGCTCTCATTCACAACCATGAACATAGAGGCCAGTTCAATAATTTCACTTGGGGAAAGGGACTCGAGGTAGCACCTCCCATATTTCAGTTGCACATTGTGATTTATATTCCAACTTTCAAAACCCACTAATCATTTCAAAAAAATGGGTAGGAACGTGTACTCCCCACTAAATTATCCAAAAAATTATCAATAATTCCACTTATCTTGAATAAGCAAATGTAATCATGTTATATATTTTGTACCTTTTAGGTGGGCCAATATGCTAAAAATTCCCAACTTATTCAGGATTGGTCCAATCTTGAATATAGACAATTTTTGTGCGTTTAGATACATTCTTTTTAGGAGCTACACAAGTAAAACAAAACTTAAAAAGCAAACCCACTAGGGTTAACTGGGATAGTAATGACTTACTAATTATTTTTATGGAGTAATAAACCCTTAAATGATAATTTTATCTATTTTATATGCTAGTGAATTTAAAGCTACGTTTTAATCTGGACTCTAAAACACATAATTTACCGGGGTTTTGATTTTCTGAGCTGCAATTTATCATGAGGAAATCCAAAGAATATAAGTTTAGTTTTTGAAGGCCTAGACTACCATCCATGAGATCTAAATGTCTTATGGGAAAGTTATCTAAATATATATAACTTATTAACAATTTACGTGCATTTTGGTAGGCTTT